TACTGTCACCTCTAAACTTGCTCTTGGCTTTCTGCAAGAGCAAACAAGCAGTGGCGTGGCTGGGGTTTTGGTGCTTCTTTACAGGGTGGATATCCCTGCCCCCCAAAAAAAACGGTGACCCAGGTACAAAGTAGTAACGTGACAAGAAGCACAGAGCAGATCTCAGTAGACTTACTACACGATGTCTTTCTCCTATCAGATGGGAAAAAGGCTCCACGTTATCTGGGTCGGGATCTTTATATAATGCCCAACGTGGTCCTTGATTGAGGTTGCTGTAACCATAACATAAATAAGGAGCAACAAACATCTGTGTGCAGATGTCCTTTCAAAGAGCTGATTGCCTTCGCCAGTGCCACCACCCTCATAGCTGAGGTGTCCGCTCTTCGTTCCAGGTTGTTTTGCTTGGGGATCACAAACAGCTGCGGCCTGTGGTCAGCAATGACTTCTGTAAGAGTCTTGGCATGGAGACATCTCTTTTTGAGCGCTACCGGAATCAGGCGTGGATGCTGGATACGCAGTACCGCATGGTGAGGCCTTCCTCAGGTGGATTGTCTTTTCTCCATCACAGAAAATGCTGCTGTCGGGGCTTGCCTCAAGCCACCGGGAAACAGATTTTTCCACTAGTGCTTTCCCTTCCTAGAGTAATGAATAATGCGCTCACCCAGTGCCAGCTATAGCACGGCGGCGTTGCAGGTGAAGCCTGCCCAAAAAGATGCTGCAGGTTGAGAAGGTCCTTGGTTTTTGTTCATCTGCATTTCTCCCCTTTTCTCCGCCAGCACAAAGGCATTTGCGAGTTCCCATCCCAGGAGTTTTATGAAATGCGGCTGCAAACGTGCCCCCAGCTTTTTCGTCAACCCAGTGTCTTCTACCACAAAGATAACAGCTGCTGCCCCATCATCTTCGGGCACGTGGAGGGGAAGGAGCAGACCCTCATGATTTCTACTGAGGAAGGAAACGAGAACTCCAAAGCTAACCCAGAAGAAGCGGTGCAGGCGGTGAGGAGGGTCCTGGGGAATTGCTGGAGATGCAAACGGGGAGGGCGTTGTGCTGGGCGACCCTGGGGATCATGGAGGGACGATGAGTAGCGATATAGGATAAAGATCAGGGGGGCGCGGTATCTGCCAGGCGTCTTCTCGGATCTGGAGCACGCCACGATGCCCCTGGCCAGAGGTGGCTGTAGGGAAGCGTGACCCAGAGCAGGGGGAGCAGCACATCGCTGCCCTGGGGACGGGTGCCGGAGGGCTGGTTCCCTCTGGCCGTGGCTCCCAGGTGAGCAGGACCCTGGTCTCCCCAGGTGAGGATGGCGAAGCAGCTGACACTAGATGGCACCATCCAGCCGGAGAGCATCGCCATCCTGAGCCCCTACAGCGCCCAGGTGTCCGAGATCAGCAAGAGCCTCCTGAAGGAGGGCGTCCGTGGAGTGACCGTCTGCACCATCATGAAGAGCCAAGGTGAGGCTGGCAGGAGAGGGGAGGGTTGGTTCTGTTCTCTCCTGCCTTCCCGAGGACCGAAGCAACTTCTCACAGACGGTCTTTGAGCAAATCCTACACCAGGGTCGTTTCAGCCGTGGAGGAAGCATCCCTGGGCCAGATTTCTGGGCGATTTGTGATTATAATCAATCCTTTGGAAACCTCTGGAGTGCGCAGGCGGGGTGAGACTGCTGAAGATAGGAAGGTGGAGGACGTCTGGAGGGGGTGTTAAAGAACTGCTGCAATACGTGCTCTTTGGAGAGCCATGACCAGGAGTCCGATGGCCTCCAGAGCTGGAGAAACCCGAACGGTGGCTGCCGTTTTGTGGGTCTTGCTGTAGAGAAACGAGTGTCCTGTGGGGTGGAGGGGTGGCCAGATGCTTCCCTCTAAAACAATCTGCTCCAATTCTGCTTTCTAGGAAGTGAGTGGAGATACGTGATCCTGTCGACTGTACGCTCCTGCTCCCGATCGCAGATTGATACGAAGCCCACGAAGAGCTGGCAGAAGAAGTACCTGGGGTTTGTTACCGACCCAAACCAGGTCAATGTCGGCATCACACGAGCTCAGGAAGGACTCTGCATTTTAGGTGGGTCTCCTGGGAGCGTGCACAGGCCTGCAGGGGAGCAGGATGCTCGGATAAAGGGGTGGAGATCCAAACTAGCACAACCGATGGTCTTGCTTTATTCTTCTGCCCTTTAGATTGTCTGTGGTTCTGAAACTGGGCTATCTGGGCAATCTGTGCAAAGCAGAGATCGTGCGCGGCTCGTACGCAGCGTGTATAATTAGTTTTTCTCACCCTCTGGTTCGGACCACGTTGTTTTCATCACTTGCATGCTAGAGCTCTCCCCTAACAGAATTTGGCTGCTTATTTTCCTCCTGATCGCGCAGGCGTAGGCTGTGATATGTAGGGAAGCTGCCTGCAGACGTGACAGCACTGAAAAGGGAGCTGGGATTTCACAGAGCGCTGGCTAAAGGAAATGTCCGTGCAAGTTATTCAGCACCCTTAGGCTAGAAATGTTAGACAAGAGTTTGTGAGGGTATCGTCTGAGCCTCTTCTGGCCACTAACCCACTGCCCCCATCCCTGTGCCAACAGGGAACCGGTACCTCCTGGAGTGCAACCCTTTGTGGAGGAGACTGCTTCAGCATTACAGGCAGCGCAACTGCTATACTACGGCCCAGGAGATTTCTGTCAGGAAGATTCCAGCCATCCGCCGATGAGGATGGGTCGGACCTCGATGAGCTCATCCCTCTCTACCTTGAACCGCGTTAACGTGTGCCTTGGGAAGGACGCGATCTTTCCATTATTTAATGACCCGAGGAGCCAAATGCAGTGGGAGAGCCGGGATCTTCCCCTGCACGGTGACAGCTCAGCTTCAGTGCGTGCTTTGGCATCTTGGGGTTTTTAATCAGTGCGACTTTGGACGGGAACTTTCAGCTCTAGCAAACCAAAAAGCATTGGAAATGCATGGATGAAACTTGATTGATGATGATGATGATGCTGTTTTTTAACTGTAAGATGCTCAGCGGAGCCTCCATCCTAACTGCCGGTGCAGCTGCGCGTTGGGGACCAAACACTCAGTCCATTCCTCGAGGGCGGAATGATCGCACGCAACGGAGCCGCGCGGCAAGCTGCCATTTGCCATAGAGGACCAAAGCTTCTGAGTACTAGCACTCATTTTAAAACCAAGGCCAGGGAATTTTTAAGGCTTCTCATTTCTCAAAGCAGAAAACCAATTTGTTTGTTTGTTTGGGCTTTTTTTTGTTGTTTTGGGTTTTTTAAGTGAAGGAAGAAAAGCAAAGAGAGAACCAAGTACCACTCGTTGTCTAAGCCAAAACGCTGCTCTCTGAGCGTTTACATACCACAGAGCCAAGGCCAAGTTGATTTTGTAAATAGACATACTTATTCTTTGTACAAAGGAGGTTGTCCTCAACCGTATAAAGTTAATGAAAAGCAAGGACCACTTCTACCAGGCAACGTTGGAATTTGTAAGCGTATTTTAAACTGTTCTGAGTTTTTATTTGAAATCTCCTTCTGTAAAAGCCCCCCTTTCCTACCCCACACTTTTTTAAAGCTGCTTCTAATTTATTAACTTTTAACTCTGTGAATTTATTTCAGTCTTATGGCCTGAGTTTTTAAGAGCGGTGATGGAAATTTGATAAACGTACCACAGCATGTATGTGTATAATGTATTTTTTTTATTTTAAGTAGCCAAACTGCTGTGAACTGGAAGCTGTGATTCACGAGAGAAGGCTGCTTTCGCCCGGTGACGTATGGCTGACACAGATGTCTAGCGGCGAAGTGGTGCTCTCTGCTGAATCGCGGAGCTGCTTGTTGAAGCACGATAGTTTTGAGGGAGGGGTGTCTTTTATCTTATTTCAATTCTGAATGTATGAAGTGCCTGCCTCAGCTCTCGCCAAGAGCACAGGCTCGGCCGTCTCGAGGTGTTCACGTGGGATGGAGCCAAGATGCAACCGCGGTGGTTTTGTGCCAAGTCGATACTGTGCTGGGACACAAGTCCTTGGCGTGAGGGGTCCCCGTGACTTCCCAGCGCTGTGGCAGGGCTGGATTTTGTCCCGTGTTTGCAACTGAAAAGGCAGCATGGCTTTCCCAGTGGGGAGGAATGTGCAATAAGAAAGCGTTTTGTCTGGAAAAGTCCTTATTTAATGCTGTGTTTCTTCTCCTGACTCTCCGTTAGACTTGACTCAAGAACCTATGGATAAATTTTGTTGTTCTCTTCCTTATTTTAAACTACCTTCCTGCACTTCTGCATTTGGTGGGTTTGATCTGTACGCTAGAGACCACCCAGGCTTGCTCTTGTCTTACTGAAGCATAGTAACGGGCGTAGGGCTGGCGATTCCCTGGGGCACAAAAGCCCGTAGGAATTACCTCCTGCTGCTTCCAAAGATGCCCGATAAAAGCTGGTAAGATGTAAAGTTCATCGTTCCTCTTTGAAGTCATCCCGGCTGGGATCTTAAAAGATTCTGCGCCAGCCTGATTTTGCAAATATTATTGCAATTCCAAAATAAGCTTGTGTGGGAATCATTTTGCGGACTACTGAAATGCGATTGTGTATCTCCAAGATGATGTGCAGAATTGCAAAAGGTGCTGGCGTTGTGGGGATAAATACTTTAGCATGGTGCCAGCATCGTTCTGACAAAGTCATCTCGGTCCCCTTAGAACCAGTGGGTCTCATTTTCATGATTTAATGTCAGTGAAGAGTTTCTCCCCTGGTGTTTTTGCTGGTTATTTTGTTACGTGTAACACAAATGAGGAGACTCACCCCACACGTCGTGGCTTAGTCCAGTGCTCATGTGTGGGATTTGGCTGCGTGTTTGTACAGACCAAGAAAGAGACCTCACAAAGCATCTCCCTTTGCCCGCAGCGGGGAAAAATGTTTACTGCTGCTCCTCGGAGGGTGAAGCCTGGCCTGAAATGCTTTGCTTGGTCACCTCTGTGTTGCAAGACAATATACATTTTCTTTTTTTCCTCTGAAGATGCATTTTGTAACTGGTGTTTAGAAAATGCTGCCCTAGACCACGCAGGCAGCCGTAACAGCCCGGCTGGACTCCCGGGGCCTTTGGGCTGTGAGCAGGTACCGGTAGCATTGGTCACGCAGCTGCAATAGTCAGGGATAGCAGAAAGTGCAATTAATCAAACTTTTAATAGACTGTTAGCGACAGCCGAATATCGTGTTCTTGTCCTTATGTTCCTGGATAGACAGAATCATTGAAATTAATAGAGAAACAAGTTCAGAGTAGTCCGGCTTCATTTGCACACAGAGCTTTGAATTTACTTTTGAAAGAATTTTGTGTTCAAGCACATATTCTTAAAATACTTAAACAAAACCACCAAACCTTTGGTCATTCCAGTAGGAAACCAGTGGCAGCATGGCGCACAGGGTATCTGTCCGATCGCAGGCTCTACGTTTTCCGCGGCCGACAGACAACAGAACATCATCGCAGGACACAAATGTTGGTTCATCCAACAGGACAATTTAATTTCCTCGGCACTAGCTAGAGCTTGAGCCCAAATTGAGCAACGGGAATACGTTGGCCGGCGTCAGCCGGCGACGGTCCCTGCGGTTGCAGGCATCGCCCTGCGTCCTGCTCGCGCTGGCAGGGAAATGGTCAGAACTGGGAACCCTCTCCTTGGCTCCAGCTGCCAAAGGAGAAGCCCACGGGACTGTTTTTGAGGATTTGGACAGATCTGTGTAGGACAATCAATTTACTGCAATAAATTGTTGGGTTTTTTTAAAATAGAAATGAAACGTTAAGTGTCATGAAGTGTAAATTAAGGAACTTTAAACGTGGCAGGTTTTTGTCTTTTGTATGTCTGTGACTTGCAGCAAACCTCAAATGATGTTTTGGATACAAATATTTTTACCTGCTTCTACCGTTTATAAGAATGAACCTCAACATTCCTTTTTTGATATTTAAGCCATAATTGTAAAAATGATTTGAATTTATTTAAATAATAAATTTTATTACAAAAAGGTCTGTTTATGTGACGGTTTGACTAGAATCTGTGCGGGGACAGCGATGTTTGGACTGAACCAAATGGTAAAAAAGAAAATGAGCATTCACTGCAGTACATGGCGGAAAAGATTGCTTCCTACATGTCGGTCGTGTGGGTGTACTGCCCTTCCCTCTTTGTTCTGGGCGGTGGTTGGGGTTTTTTGTTGCTGGGTTTGGTTTGGTTTGGTTTTTTTAATCAGAGTGATCTTTTCACACACTGTAGAGGCGTGAGCATGAAATCATGCTCGGGTACCTAGAAGGCACAGGGTGTAGAGGGCGAGGAGAACCAGCGATGGGGGTAAGGTAGGGTGAGCAATTTGAAGAGCTTAGGGTTCGGTTCAGGTGTTTTGGAGGAAGGACGTGGGGGGAAAAAATAACTTGGGGTAAAAAAACCAAACCAAGATCATTGCAAGAAGCTGGCACCAGGCATCTCTCAGTGGATGGAAAGCGCTGGATGATGGAGATGCTTCTGTCTCCTGTGCTTTGCATCCCAGATGTCCCGTGAGCCCGCCTGCTCCTCGCTGCTCCCACCCGGGGGCTCCGGCAGCGGGAAGGGAGTGTTAACACCCTTAGGCAGCATTCGGGGCTCATTTTGTGTGAGAAATTTGGAACGGGCTACTGTTACCCTGGGAAGACCTGGGGAAGGCGCTTGTAAAATTGTTGTTGAAAACAGAATGAGTTCAGTTTTACACAAGATGGTTAAAAATAAGGTTTACCTTTAATTTTTCTCATTCATCTTTTTCAAATGGATAAAATGAGAAAAACGTTCTTGTGTGCCACCTCTTCCATCAGGTGCACAAGCGCTGCCGTCGGTGTCTTCAACAGCATTAGTTTTTGTCTTCAATATAATGCTGTCGTGCCATTTTTTAAAGACGAGCGTGTGAGTGTCTGATCTTCTAATAGTGAATTCGTACGATCTGCCAGGCTGCAGGTCCTGGACTATACACGTGTTGGAGGTGACCTCCTGAATCCTGCCGTATCCCACTTCTGTCTGACTCCCGTCTGTCAGTAACGTAAAGCGCAGTTCACACTGTTCAAGGTGTGACTCTTGATTTTCGGTAAACCACTTGAGCTTGGCCCAGTTCTTGTGTGCAAATGATTCTTTTCGATCAAAAATCAGTGGCATCTTTGTACAGAGAGAAAGCCTAACATTGGGGAGTCTGGTACCCCTAAGATCTGCGTGTGACATCAACCGGTGCTTGACGTAGAGCTTTCCTGGCACTTGCAAGGAAAGGAGAGTTTCCAGAAATTCGGAGAGCTTGGACAGTTTCCAAGTAACCAAGTCCCAGCGGGAGAGGAAAGTTATCATGTCACAGGTCTCGACGTAAGAGCTCAGCTCCTCCCGACCGCGTTCCAGCTGTTCTAACAGCTCGGTTAGCAGTGACAGCTGGATTTCAGTCTGGCTTTTTCCCACCTTCTTCATCCTCTGGAATTGGTAGGGGTCTATTAGCTGCAAGATGTCGGCGCGATGCATCACGTGGTTCTGGTCTCTCACGTTCGTGTATTTGGGCTCGATCTCCAAGTAGAAGTAAGACTTCTTCAGAAGCTCAACCTTGTTCCGGTGGTGCTGGAGGTGCTGGAGGCTCAGGTCGGAGTGCAGGAACTGCAGAACAAAGCTTCTCCTTTCCAAGTACCTCTCCCAGCCGGCATCGTCTTGCTGTTCTTCGCTGTGCGCAGTACGCCCCGAACTGGTTTCAAACTCATTCAAAATCATAGCCATGATTCCAAAGCTCGGTTGCTGTGTAAGAAAGCAGCAATAATAACATTAAGAACCAAAGGAAAAGCAGCTGTGAGACTGTGACTCTTCTCTCTTAATTAAAGCTTAGCTTATAAATTTATAGATGGGGAAGAACTGCTAGACGAGATGTAGTTCCAGAGGAATTTTCCTTTACAGTTGTATGGTTTCTCGTGTTTTGTATAGTCTACTTTTATACATTCCAACTGGTCTCCTGCTACCCCCCCTTGAGAGGTTCTACCTCTGCTTAATAGATTCACTGTCAGGAACTATGCTCTGATATAGGGAGAAATTTTGGCAGAATATCTTATTATCTGCCGTTTCATTCTAATTAGATGCCTTTGTACTCCTGTAAGCAATTTCTTTCCATTCTTCTACATCTCTGGAGATGTCTATTTTTCTCTCTTTGTAATCTGCCAGGCTGTTGAGGTTTGAGACCCATCTTCTAAGCTGGTTCCTACAGCTACATAATCACCTTGGTGATTCAAATTAACCCTCTGCCCCTCAGCGGGCGGGTACGCAGCGGCAGAGCCCGCGGTACGCCGAGTGCCACGCCACGCCAGCTTTCGAGAGGAATGCTAGCGTTTTTCCTTGCACCTCTGCCTTCAACAGTGGACTGACAGTCACAGCCTGACAATATTTTCAGGGATGTACGGCTTTCCCTTCCTTTGGTTTTAATTTACATCACCTCGGCCCATGACACCCACTTGCTCTCTTGTAGAAGAACGCTGTTAGTCTAGAACAATGTACGGTAAGAGAATGACACCCATTAAGGCCCCCGTGAACAGATAACGGTTTGCCGGCAAGAAGGTGTTTAGGTAGCGGCCCTTTGCGACGCCGTATCGGCTCTCTGTCTTAGTTTCAGCGGTTTCATTTACTGGCGAAGCCGTGCCCTGGCTGGCGGTGCCTGCTGCGCCAAGGTGGAAGGTGTTTCTCTGTTGTGCTTTAGCCCGAGTACCTGTGCTCCCACAGCTCAGGTACCATGAACAGAAATTAGCTAAATAAATGCCCGTGTCCCTGTTGTCGGTGATATTGGAATGAGAACCCAGCTTGACGTGGAGAACGTGGCTTTCACAAGCTGAACAGGCTTGATTTGAAAAAGAAATAACGACGGAATTCTGAAAGTAAGGCTTTGTGACCCCACTCCGGCTGCGACGGTACGCGCTAGCACCAGGTAACCTTCCTCATTCTATGTCATTTTCTGGTTATAATTATTTAAGTTCTCGTAGTATCTAACTGGGATATTTTAATTCTTCCATGTCTTGCAGAAGCTAGATGGTGATATCTAGTTGACAAAGCAATTTTTCTCAGCCTCCTTTTCCCTAAATCCGTAACAGAACTAATAACGCTTCCTCGTAGGAATTTCAAGCGTTTGTAAACCTTTCAGCTGCCTGGCCCCTTGCTGCACTACGATTTATACTAATCCACTCATTCACAGCAGCTTTTTTTCCCAAGAGAGCTGTCAACTTAACAAAACAAGCTGTATTTCCTTTTCACTTTTTTCTTTCCTCAAAAATAAACCCCTCGACCAAAGCAGTGCCAGTTGCTGGCATCCCCGTACGCGTGCAATGGGGACAACCCATGCACCAGGCTACCTTACCCCGCTTTCAGAGCGGTTTGGCTCCCTGGAGCAGTTTGTTTGCCCACAGACAGAGCTGTGATTGCCCTTGTTTTCCCTTTCTGGTTTTATATCCCTTTTTTTCTCGCCAGGAACGGCTGCGTTCCCAGTACCGCCGCGATGTTTGCAGCCTGGGAGGCTGCAGTTGCACAAGCCGGGGGCTGCCCGGCCCCGGGCTCAGCCAGGCCAGGGCTTGGGGGGTGGAAGGGGGCACCCAGGGGTGCCGGAGCCACCCCAGCGTCCCCGCGGCTCCAGCCCAGCCCCTCACCCCGGGGCAGCCGCCTCCTCACGCCGCCCCGTACGAGCCCTGGCCCCTCCGGCAAGGCCCATCCCGGGAAGGCCCCGGCCTGCCTTCCCCTGCCCCGCTGCGCCCCGGCCCCACCTTCCCAGGCCCCGGGGAGCTCCGTCCAGCGGCCCCGGCCCAGCCCGGCTCTACCGGTGGCCCGGCCCGGCCGCCCGCAGCCCTGCAGGCCGCGGCCGTTGCCATGGCGACGCA